ACTGGAAACCACCTGTTAACACACGTTTGGTTTCTTATTTCTAAAATATTCAAATAATTTAAAATGTTTTCGTTTTTTTTTTCAAACGAACAAGTGATCACAGACCAGACCAACCTAGGCTAGCAACCGAGCACACACCAAAAAATTTCGTTATTTTACAACCGAAAGAAAAGACATAAAATTTGCATAAATTCCAATTCACAGTGTCGTGTATAACAGCTACATAAAAAAACAGAAAACATTTTGTTTGATCTTGCCTTTGAATTTTTTTGGTTTTAACAATTCAAATACTATGGCTTCTGCTTCTTTTTCGTCTTGGCGACTACTTCCCATCGCCTCCACTAACATTTGTAGGCATTGGGGCCTGGCAAAACATACCAAAACCAGACCTGTTCCCTGCCCGATATCAAATTTTTGGAGGAAACAATAACGACACGATCTGAACGAAAAAAAAACCTGTTGCTATTCCAGCAGCGGCTGTTTAAATATTTTTTCAGTCACTAACAATAACATTTTTATTTCGTTTTATTTAAAATAAGACGGCGACGATGAAGAAGAAGTAGACTTTAGTCGGATGTTTAGCAAATTGAAGTCAGCTAGAACTGTATAAACATTAAATTAATAATATATACATACATATGTATATATTGCTTGTTAATAATGTGTAGAATAATTTCTATCGTATATAATAAAGAATAGATTTATTCAAGTTTCTTTATTATCGCTGACAAATCTATGTGATCTAAATAGTTTGTTATATTTCGGAGAATATATAAGATAATTTGGAAATTTTCCATATATCATTTGAAAGTAGCGTACGATTATGTAGGCATTGATATATTTTTATTGGTTGTTATTATTTTAATAATTAAGATTTGCTTTTTTACTATTATTATTAATATTTCAATACATATTTGATTGATGCTCCTTGCATGGAGGCAACAAGGTTAGTGCAAAAGTTCGACGAACAATTTCTGAATCTGTTTCCACATTTCGTCGAAGGTACTTTATATCTCTTTTGTTAATGAGAAATCATACCAACAGTCTTGGTTGAATGCTGATTCGATTCTAATTTTATTATTTAAAACTGTTTAGTGATGTGCATTGAGAGCTTCATATCGAAAACGCCATTGCCTAATGTGCCCCGATGTCGAAAGTGCCCCAGTCTCCCCATACATTTATTTACTTTGCAATTTTAGTTGCTTTGGGTTTGACCACCAGTGTATATGATTAATTGTATTAAATAATGTGTAAGACCTTCTAAATATAGGCCCGAAGGCAAAATATCGTCGAAATGAATCGAACATGTGTTCCATATTTTTTAATTAAGTTACAGGACAATTCGTAAAGGAATTTTAAATGGAAGTGAGGTATAGTCCAAAAAATATTTTTTAGAAAAAAAAATAGTACTCACCCTGTTAATGCCCTACACTATACAGGGTGTTAAGTACTTCTACATTTAGTTGTAACATAAAAAAGGAAACAATAAATAACAACAAAATTTTATCCAATGACGAACTCTATTCAATGTGGTAAAACTCGGTTAAAATTATGATATCTCAATATTAGATCAATGTTCGTCAGTTGGAGACGGAGTTTTGCAAATTGACCCTGAATTAGACATATTTGCGACGGAATCGATTCAGATTTCGATATTGCTTCCATATCATTATTTTGCCTATCCAGTATACGAAATATCCGACTCTGATGAAATTTTCTCAACTCTATATTTTCGTCCCATTTCAGGCAAAGTTATTTGGTTATTAACTAGGAATACAGAATGCTAAATTTCAACCACTTTGGAGCGAAAACCTTTAAAATGCCGAAAACGAGTGGGGTTCTTCTTCTCTACATTGGGGCTATGTCAAAGATGTATCTAGATTTTAGGTAATGAAAACGGAATTTTAAATGGCAAAGACTTTGGTGGATCAATGCGTCCCCATTGGAGACTATGTCCCAATTTGCACTTATACCTAATATTTTCCTTTGAAAAATATGGATAAAACTTTCAAAAATAATAAAAATCTAATTGTTTTCTGCAAAGATACATTTCAGAAAAAAAACTAGAACCCTAAAGATCGATAAAGGATCCATTAAAGAATAAACCTTGTGCTTTCCCAAATGACGTGTCATGTGGATGTTTTGGATTACAGATATGGACATAGAACCCTATAAATACATGGAACATATATATATTCCCCATTTAGTGGCCAAAAGAAAAAAAAACAAAACAGACAAAGAACAGTAAGGAAGGTAGTAAAGTCGGGAATATAATGGAACCAACTAACATCAATCCGAACATATGTCATTCTGCAACCTATGCTAAGGTTAATTTCATTCGGGCAGATTTAGAATCGTTTGCGTACAATGGAACAAATTTATGTAAATCGATTTAAAGCAAACTTGATAAACCCTATTTGGTATGCTGCACAATCAAGTCTGCGTCTGAACCAATTAAAAAAAATACGTTGTGCAAAATTTCGTGTCAATCGGACAAGCATAGGAATTTGGAGTACCATATACATTAAATCAGACGAAAATATATATTGAAGCTATATCTAAATCTAAACTGATTTTCAGGAAACTTAACACAAATCATCCTAGATTTTGTTCAGTTTGCTATGCAAAATTTCATCCAAATCGAAAGACTTGCTGCACCAAATAGAATCGATATCGGACTTTGCTGCCCCATTTACATTAACTCGGAGGAAAATATAAATGGGAGCTATATCTAAATCTGAACGATTTTCACGAAATCTGAACCGATTTCATGCTGGACATAATTCAGTAAGCTATGCCAAATTTCGTGGAAATCGAAAGATATATAGGATGTTAATGGTGCACCATTAACATTAAATCTGATGAAAATATATATGGGAGCTATATCTAAATCTGAACAGATTTAACAAAAATTCATGAACATCAATCGGTAGTAATTTTAATACTCTATGCTAAATTTTGTTCCATGAACATAAAATCGGACGAAACTATATATGGGAGCTATATTTAAATTTGAACCGATTCCAACAAAACTTCCTAACATCAATGTGGACCTAATTCAGTACTCTGTTTAAATTGTTGTCTTAATCAGGGCAATATTGGCAGCATGTTGCTCCACATACATAAAATCGGAGGAAGCTATATATATGAGCTATATCTAAACCTGAGCCGATTTTCTGCAATTTCAAAAGGGTTCGTCCTTGGGCCAAACAAGTGACATGTGTCAAATTTCATCCAAATCGGATCATAAATGTGACCTGCACTTTGTTCAAAAAAATACATAGTCGGACGGACATGCATAAATCGACTCAGAAAGTAATTCAATGCATATTCTCAAAAGAAACTATGGGTATAACTCGATTCCTTTTGTCTGTTACAAACATATGCACAAAGACATAATACCTTGTACCACAGGGTGGTGAAGGGTATAAATACCTACCTCTGGAAAATTTTCAGACAAATTTGATCGTTTTTACTAGAGTGCAGCAAAACTTTTGGATATAAAGACAACAATCGAATCGACAAAATTCAGGGACCGAAAATAATAGTTATTTTTTAAAATGCTAACAAAAAAATCTTCATGTTAGAGACATGGGACACCAATAGTGTCATATACCAATAGATTCGTATTGAGGAGCCCACTAAGGATATTGAGTGATCTTGAGAAAACACTCTCAGTTCCCATGTTAAGGATTATTTTTTAACGGAAAAAATAAATTTTTCTTGTTTGGATTTGTTTCGGCTTAAGGTTAAATAAAATTCAGTATTTTGTTTTCTGCTTTTTTATTTTTTATTCTCCAATATTTCGACTATCTTCGACAGTCATCTTCAGGGAAATAGTTATGAGAGAAGCTACAGGTTTGTTACACCGTCTATGCTAAACAGGAAAAAATAAACGTTGATTTTAAACTGTTAAAAATGATTTTTAATTTTTCCGTCAAAAGTAAAAGTCTTTTTGGGATTTTTATTTTTTCCGTCAAAATTGAAAGTCTTTTTGGGACTTTTATTTTTTCCGTCAAAAATAACAGTCTTTTTGGGATTTTTATTTTTTCCGTCAAAAATAAAAGTCTTTTTACGTAAAGAAGTTTATACAACTTGTAATCAGTTATAAAATTACAATTTATAAATCTCTGTCCTTATTACAATAAGTGTACACATGAGTAATCAAGATCAAAGGTAAAAAATATTTGTTATAAATATTTAAAAAATAGTCTAGTGTACCAAATCATGAATATTAATTAAAGAATCATTCCCCTGACTATTAGGTCAAAGGTTATATAACTGGTACCAAACTCTATATGTTTATTTACGTAAAAAGATTTTTATTTCCTGACGGAAAAATAAAAATCCCAAAAAGAGTTTTATTTTCTGACGGAAAAAATAAAAATCACAAAAAGACTTTAATTTTTGACGGAAAAAATTAATATCCCAAAAAGTCTTTTATTTTTGACGGAAAAAATAAAAATCATTTTTAAGAGTTCAAAATCAACGTTTATTTTTTCCGTTAAAAAATAAATAATTAAAGTGGATTTTTTTATTTAGGTCAGTTATTTTTTACCTGATTTGATATAAGTTATAACCGTTACGGTCCCTGACAAAATTACATGACATGCGTTTTCCAAAAAAAATTCAAAATTACCTATTTTTGCTGCGTTTCCAGTAATATTGGTGAAAAATGCAAACAAATGAACGGCAACTATATTTTCCATTTAATATCACAATAACACCCCTATATTAATACACTAAACTGCATATTTCCCTACATATATGTTATACACCAATTTGTATTACTATTGTACTATTTGAAATAACCCTTTAACACTCAACCCCTTACCAAATAAGCAAATATACCATTCCTCATAAAAATCGTCAAAATATCCCCAAAACACTTAAGTATACCACACTGTTGTCTTGTTTGTTTTGATTTTCTCGTTTCCTCTCACACTCTGTGCGAGCAACAGCCATGCACGTTTTCTCGATTTTGTTTTGTTACCACTTACTTGCATTGAATCGGCACTGATAATTTCGCCACCAAAACGTTCAGCCAATTCCAATGATAATTTCGTTTTACCGGTACCGGTAGAACCCAAAATAACAATTAATGGAACTTTGCGTAACATTATTTAATACAATTATTACAAAATTATTCACTATTTAATTCAAAATAATACAATATTTATTTATATTAACCACACGCGACGGACAACGCACTCAACCGAACTTAAAGAACGAAAGCAACTACAGAACATAAACAAAAAGAAGAAGACGACGACGGCTGTTTTGTTTACTCGTGTATGAGATGAGAGCGAGAGAGAATGCTATGGTGTGGCCATATGGGTTGTGAAGAAGAAGTTTATTATAAAAATTAATGGTTTTGCTTGGGGCCTGCTAGGCTGGTCACCTTAACGTGAGTACTTTGTGGGGGAAAATAGATATGAATGGAATAGAGTATTTATTTTTAGCGTTTTTTAAACGAATTAACGTATATTTACAAAGTTATTAAAAATTAAAACGAAACAAATAAAATAAGGCAATGAAATTAAAAATAAAAAACTGAATTGGCAATTGCTATGTTGTTCTTTTTTCAATGCATTCATTCATATTTCTTAAGAATAATAAAATACGTCGTTAAGTTTTTTACCCTCTGCTATGTCTCGGTATTCAAAATACCTAAAAACTTTTATATGGATGCTATATAAAAGTTTTTAGTTATTAGAGCCAATTTGGTTACAAACGTGCCTAAAATTTCCCAAGTTACCGAATATCAAGTTGTTTCGTTATATGGGGTCTATCCTGAAACGTGAGCAATATTGATAATTTTTGGTAGGAAAATGACACAAAATATCAATTAAGAATCTATTCGTTTGAAAACCGTGGAATAAATAAATAATATTTGTGGAGAGCATTTCTGACAAGTTCTTCAACCGAATTGCTATATTTTGATCAGAGACAGTAACGGTTATAAGTAATATCAAATCAGTTATAAAATAACAGTTATTTTGTAAACAAATCCGTTTTAATTATTTATTTTTTAACGGATTTTTAACTGTTAAATATGATTTATTATTTTTCCGTCCAAAATAAATAATCATTTCAGAAGTTTTATCTTTTCCCTCCGAAAATAACATAATTGTACGTAAATAAACACATAGAATTTGTTACCAGTTATATAACCTGCGACCTTATAGTCAAGGTATTATTATCTAACTAATATAATTTATTTCATACACTAAACTGTTCTAATACCCTCCATCATAGTGTCGAGGTTATATTAATTTTGAGTTTTCCGTTTGTAACACATCGAAATAAAAATTCCCGAACCTTTAAAGGGTATACATATGTATATTCTTGGTCATATCGGTCCACGTTTAGGCATGTCTACCATATAAGGGTAACCCCAAATTGTGAGGTTCTTGCGCATTTTTCAACCGAATTCTCTGAAATTATATTTATATTTTGGTTTTTTAATGGGTACCAAATTTTTCCACTAAAATATATATATATATATGTATATATATATATTGGTCAACTTTTTCTGGTAGCCCCATATAACGATACCTCCCAATTTTCAGAATTTTTGGGAGTTTAATGTGGACCACTATAAAAAAAGCGGGACCTTTTCATGAGGACGAGTTCGAAACATGGGCGCGTTTAATATGGAGGTAGGTATTCTATCCTCTGAAAACCCGATATGCGAAATTACAAGTGCTTCGGTTGAAGCAAGGACCTTCAAAATACCGCAAATGGGGCGGTACCCATTGTTACCCAATAGATTGAATCTTATCACAACCGATCCACAACATACCTTTAACTTACTGATCCTCATTACCCTCACATACTGGTCCACATTACCCGCCAAGTTATTTTTATTCGTAGTTTACAGTTTTTTTTAAATAGAATGCAATAACATTTTTATTGACAAATATATATAATGTTTGTCATGGAATATATTTAGCCAACATATCTAATGTTGTGAAAACAATTTGTTTTTATTTTTTACCGTTGTTACGCCCACAATATTAAAATAAAAGAAAATGGTGGTCCACATTACCCGAAGTTACTCTAACAAAAATTATTAATGTTTGTCCCCTTTTAGTGGTAGTTCCCATATAACCCCCTTTTTTATACCCTTCACCAATCTGTGGTACAGGGTATTGTGTCTTTGTGCATATGTTTGCAACAAGCAAAAGAAAACGAGATAGGTATATGGTTCCTTTTGAGAATATGCATAGAATCATTATTTACCCCAAGGAAAAATTGTTTCAGATTTAGATATAGCTCCCATATATAATTTCGTCCGATTTATGGCAAATATTGCACCAAAGTCCTTACACATCTTTCGATTTGGACGAAATTTGGCACAGAGTACTAAATTAAGTCTAGAATGATGTGTGTTAATTTTCGTGAAAATTGATTGAAATTTAGATATAGCTCACATATATATTTCCGTCCGATTTAAGGTAAATGGTGCACCAAAGTCCCCATATATCATTCGATTTGCACGAAATTTCGCACAGCGTATTGAATTAGGTCTAAAATGATGTGTGTTAAGTTTCGTGAAAATCCGTTTAAATTTAGATATAGCTCCTATATATATTTTCGTCCGATTTAATGTAAAAGGTGTACACAAAGTCTCTATATATCTTTCGATTTTCACCAAATTTGAATAAGCGTACTTGAATTAGGTCTAGAATGACGTGTATCAAGTTTCGTGAAAATCATTTTAGATTTAGATATAGCTCCCATATATCTTTTCTTCCGGTTTTAAGGTAAATTTTGCACTAAAGACCCAAAGTGTGACTGATTGGCACACAATTTTGTACAATGTACTTAAATGAGTATAACGTTATGTGTGTCAAGTTTTCTTGAAATCGATTCAAATTTACATATAGCTCCTATATATATTTTTGTCCGATTTTAAGTAAATGGTACACTAAAGACCCATAGCTAGGCCGATTAAGTAAATGGTACACTAAAGACCCATAGCTAGGCCGATTGACACAAAGTACTGAAATAAATATAAATTAATACCGGGCAAGTTTCTTTGAAATCGGTATAGATTTACATATAGCATAGCTTCCATATATAATTTCGACATATTCATGCTAACAAAATTTAGCATAGGTTGCAGAATGGCATGTGTAGGGATTGATGTTAGTCGGTTTACATATAAAGATCACATTTTTAATTTTGTTCAATTTCATGTCAATGTTCCTTCGAAAAGGCGACGTCTGTTAAGATACATATGTAGAATATACCCAAAGGGGCGACTTTACAACCTCCTTACTGGTTTATATTAAAATAGTTAGCTGATTAGTTACGTGTGTAATTAGTTCCACATATCGCCGTACTCTAATATAGTATAGGCGATAGTCGTTACTCGAAATAGTCAGTTTTTACCCCACAAAGTATGTAATTCTAAGTGATGTAGCCATCGGTTGTAATGATTCCGCTCTCTAAGAGTATCTTGACAAAAAAAAAAAATCGGACCTAACAATGATACCTCCTGAAGGAAATAATTAAGACACAAAATTAAGTATTGGGTTCGAAATTGACATATATCGGTCATAAATTAGGCATAGCTCTCATATAATGATAACCCCAAATATTCGGCAATTCCTACACCATGTAATCAATATTGGCCCCCCTTTAGGCATAGCCTCATATGATTTTGTAATCTAAATTACACTAGTTTGAAAATTTTATACTCTACCATGCGTTATAAAATTCAGTCCACGTTTTTAGGATTAAAAATTGCTGAAATTTTTATTTGGTGTACAAAAATCGGTTTACATATATATATATATATATACATTCTAACTTCTTGTCAAAAAAACTTAGGACGAGCACATTGGACCCAGGGTCTCCGAGTTTTCATTCACTCGCAGTAGCTGGTAAATAATAAATAAATAATTGGTGTCTAAATATCCTTTAACCTAACCAAAATGATTCGTATGACCATTCAATATTTCCTTATTCCACGTTATAGTCGCTGAAAAGGGCGCTAGCTTCAGTCGATGTCTGAGAGATTTCAGTTTCATGGTGAACTTCACAAATTTTGGTGTACCTCTTAGAATGGACCGATCTTCGTCGATCTGAGGGAATAGACATCACAAGCCTAAATTTTCTTTGAAGTGCTTTATATTTTCTTCGAAGCGCCTAAATTTTCTTCGTAGTACTTTCGATTCGACGGTCGATTTTTTGGGGAACTAACATCAACCTCTGGCCTAATAATTTCTATGGAGTTGTCATTTGCGGATTGTCGTATTATATTCTAGGTTTATATTAAGAACTTCAAACATTTATTATCCATTATTAAAATACTCTTGCTTTTGGAATGAATGAATGAACAAATTCATGGGTATGTACGTGTATGTGTACATAATTATATGACGGTATTATTGTAAGCCATCCCAAATGAAAGGAATATATCACAATGGAAAGTTACTCAAAATTTGTTCAGAACATAGTTCAACTAACGCTTCCCCTTAGCTTTTCTATTTCTTTCTATTATTTAAACAATGGAATGTTAATTATTCGACAAAAAGCCCTTCACTAAAATTCATGTAAACTGATTTGGAATAAATTACCACGGTGAAGACGAAGAAGAGCCTTAGAAATTAAATAGAAATATGCATTTTCAAATTAAAAATCAACAAAAACCCATTTCAATGTATGAATTGTATAGAAAAATAAGAATTGGAACATCCAATAGATATGGGGTTACAATGGAAATAGCAACAGTTTGTTGTGACCCATAAATTTAGGTGTTGTACAAACAGTGAACATGAATAAGCATATTTTCTTTTCTATATATGTGTATATCTCAGGGGATATTTTTCTGTAAACAAAACACCCCAAAAACAGAATTCTTACAACACACAAAAAGGTCACATAGCAAAGATTTAAAATGAAAGAAACGAATGAAAAGAAAACGAAGCACCCTTTGCCACCATATTTACACTTGGGACTCACCATTCATTCACATTGGCTTTTTTGTTTGCCCGCTTGCCATCTGAAGCATTTGAAATCCTTTCTTTGAACATCTGTTGCGGAATATGCTAAACAAGAGAAATCAAGCCGGAGATCCTTTTGTATTACATTTTTCTATTATATTTTAGCTTGAGTTTCAATTTCTTTTCTGCCTATCATGCCTTT